CCAGAGAATTCGTTTTGGCATAGTTGGATAGAGAATTGAATGGGCGGGTCAAGACCCCCATGACCCCTCCCCCCCTGGATCCGCCCTTGGGTAGTACTAATAATCCAATAAGTTCGATTGGAATCCGCAAGTCCTGGGGTTTTATTCTCCTAATACATAGATAGGTATTTCGTCATTGGTTGTTGAACACCTATATGTATATTAATTCTATTAGCATCATCTGAAGAATATTAATCGACTAACATTTAACAGGATGCTTACTTTATGTTAATTGGTACGATAGAATAGGTATGGCAATACCACTAAAATTCTGATGAACTTATACCTAATTCAAGAAGTTTTAAACGGGTTTTGCACCAATCAGTTAATAATAATATCTACATCAATTGAATGTCTCGGTTGTTTTTAAACCTATGGAATCAGTTAGACTCTCAAGTTTATTAAAAAGAGTGGATGAAAATCGGTAATAAAATTATTTCTGCATCTACTTAGTCCATTCAACAAACCTAATTGGCATATTGTTCACGGTGGTAGGTATTTCCATTGTAAAACTGAGGCCACAAAATAATAATTGATTGAGATTACATAGTCTGAAATTAGAATCTGGTCGACACTAAAGTAGATTTCATCTAGAAACAACATACAAAATAAAGGATTCTCACTTGTTGCACGTTTTTGTTTGATCCAGTCGACTTCGCTTTCGTGGTCTCCCCCTGCGAACCGCCGCCCCTCGCTCCGAACCGACTTGGACCACTCGGAATTTGTCGGAATGCCGCCATCGTCTGACGACCGCGCCCGAATACGATTCAGTCGGTTCAGTTAGCAGTCAAGCGTCATACTTAATGTTGGGGCCACGTAACTACGCGATTTATTTCAAGGACATTTGCTTTGTGGTTAGTTAAATTTAGTTGTGAACGGTTTATTTCCAGGATTATCTAAAGTGCAATTTATTCTGGATTAAATATTATGCTTTGGTAAGAGTTTCTTAATTAATTGCCATCCCTTCAGTCGAGCCCGCACCTGATCGTTTTAACCTTTGACTGACGAGCAATATCGAACAAGATTTCCATTTTTTCGGTTAAAACAGGTTTTGGTGAATTGATTGATGATCATTTTAACGCTTCATTGATCGATTTCACATGGTCAGTTATGTAGGAAATTCCAGTCTCAGCTCTCACTTATTTGGCAAAACTGACGTGAGGTCATTAAAGCGATAAACTGCGATTCTTACCGTTAAGCTCATTTTCCTTTGTCTACTTAGTCAATCATAACTGCTCGCACTTCACTGGCGTAGTTGGGCACAGTCGCCGCCAGTGGGAGCCACCAGCTTGACTTCGTAATGAAAGTACACTGACCCTAAGTTCTGCTTAATATTTATTATAGTCATTTTGGCTATTGAAAATGTGTCTATAAGAACCAGCTCTGCTCATTCAATATCATGTTTCACACCTAATAAAGTAGCTCTGGCCGTGAATGGCTGGTTCAGAACGGGATCGAAGCCGCACAGCATTTTTATACTTATCTCCTATATACCTACTTCTCCATGAAGCCTATATCATCAACGTTGCTTTGGCTGACTCCTTACGCGTTCCAAATCAAGTCATCAATGAAACGGTGAGGCTGCAAGAATCTGCTTCTTAACCCCTGTCCGATGCTTGCTGAAGTCAATCAAAGTCGCTTCCCGTACTCCACATAGTTCTCAAAGGCAATGAACGCAAACGGACATTTTATCTAATAGGTACAAGCACTACATTTCTTAGATAGTTTATTACTTATTCTGTGCTTGGAACGATTTGGTCAAGGTCAAAAGGACAAGGTACCTACCTGGGCTAAAGCGGCATTTCGATAAATTTCTTTTTACGGAAATTATTCATTCATATGAGCATATCAGCAGTGTTTACAATATCGATTAGAAACTTGATTGCTCTCCCCTCTCTGTGGCCTCTAAAATTGCGAGGAACTTTCCAGACACCCACCTGCAATGCGACCCCATTTGATTGGATCTGTTTAGTAGAAACAGACAAAACAGTAGTTTTCTTCATACCTATGGTGTTTTGAAATAGGTATCTTATCCACATCCAACAATTTGATTTTGTTGGTGACAGCTGCTAATTTTACCTTTAAACTTCAACCTTTAAACAGTTTTGCCCAAAACTAATTATAGACAGCAACAGAAACAGCTTTCAACCGGTGGGTATTCTTTCTTAGGTTAAGTTCAGATAATTACAGCATATAAATACCCAGCTACTACCCAAGTAAGACAAAATATTAAATAAATATTATCGGAAATACATATACTTAAGTAGATACGCTTTTTGCAATGGCCAGAGTTGCGTGTTTTTAGTGAAAAAGTTACAGATGAATTGACAACATGTACATAATCAAAGATTACGAAGGAAGCTGCTTCAGCTTTTTCCATCGAAAAAATGAACTCAGTGAAGCCGAATGACATTTCCGGAATTCCGCCTTCTCTGCATTATTGCTCCCCAGTCACTGCTCAGCAGTTTGTTGATTTCACTCAATCTCAGCAATTCTAGGATGTCGATTAAATCGATGTTTTACCACACCAGGGGCGGATCCAGCTTTAAGGTCAGGGGGGGGTTATGTARAAAAAATACAGTCTTCTGTTGTCTATGAAATTAGAAAAATTATCGTCGTTTTGTGCAAGGGTGGCGCAAGATTATTGCAAAATTTAATGTTTTCTGTTCCGTTTTTGCTCGTTTCTCGGGGGCAAAATGAGCAAGAACGTTCATTTGTACATCATTCTAGAGAGAAATAAATGGGCTTTTAGAAAGTGAATCGTGGATGGGGAATTGTTGGCAGTTTTCTCAAAAAATGCCTGAATTCAAGAAGTTTTAGATTTGCGTGGTTTATTTTTGAGTTGCAAAACCCACTTGAACATGACGCTGCTTTTTTCGAGGTTCCTCAAGAACCATTTGAGCCACATGATTCGTTTTGGCACCGTTGGATAGAGAATTGAATGGGGGGCGGTCATGACCCCCCATGACCCCCCCTGGATCCGCCCTTGTACCACACCTCAGTTTTTTATGTTCTTCAACTGATCCTTGTAACATTAAATTATCAAACGGCTACGAGGTATTCAAAATAAAATAAAGAGAAACAAAATAGTAATTACTGGTGTTATTTTCAGGCAAGTCGTCCAATTCACCCAAACAACACATCAGCAATTTGACCAGCTTAAAAGAAGACTTGGATTATAGACAGTGGCAAAATAATTATCACCATCCATTAGAGATCAAGAAACAAGTTTTGGAAGAAGCCATCAAGTCCAAGCTACGTGAAGTGGAAGTTGTGGTAGTGGACGGTCTACACAGCGGTGCTTATGTCGAGCAAAATCAGACCGGGATAAACCCAGCCAGGACAAGGCAGAAGAATTTCTCGGACAGTCGTTCATCTGAAAATGAGTGTGATGTACAGGAATCAGCAAACCGTGACAGGCATCAACTGACCAGTAGTAACTCAAGGAGCTGTTCCAGAACCAGTGCAAGCTAGTAATTCTAGTGATAGTAATAATAATTTGTGCAATTTATTGTGGTGGATACCCGGAACTTACGCAGTGATAATAGTGATTCGGGTTTTTTGCGCGAGAAAGGAAAGTGAAAAACGCTGCTGGTGGACAGGATTGTGCAATAGTGGCGGAACAGAACGTCAATGAAAGGCATCTAAACCACATCCCTACAGAGAACACCCGCAACGTTATTGGCAGAACGGGAAAAGGAAGCGATCGCGACACGGCTTGCATAATTAGAGGTTAGTTTAGTAGTGATAATTTTAGCCGGTGTACCAAATCAACAGTTGTGATGTCATTGTCAGGTGACGATGACGGCCTTCTTTGTTCGTCTTCGCCGCTCAGCAGTATGGATTTTGACAACACTCCCAACTTATTGCGCTTCCCTGACGATCGTAGTGACTCTGGCGTGAGTTCTTTGCGCTCAGGAAGTGGGGATGAGCGCTGTGGATCCAGGTCAGTAGCGACTAACTGAATCCAATCAAGAACTGAACTGCAATATAGAAGCTAAAAAAATACCGGAAACGCTTTCCAGATCCAGCGCGTTAAGTTTATCTGACGACCCACCCAATCCTCTAGCAGGACAATCTTCTTGCAACTGCACCTCGTCAGTACAGTCCGCCACCCGTTCTTCAATTTTCGTTCCGGCCGGCGTATCGACCGCCGAGCCGGTGCGCGTCTGGCGCGATCCAGGCCTGCTCCTTCAGGTACGAGTAAGTTGTTGCTTAAGAGCCCTTTAGAAGAGGATACAGTTGCCCGCTGATTCGTGGCTGACCGAAATCGCAGACTTGTAGCAAGACAAAAAGTAGTAGCCGGGTTCTCATAATTAGCAAGTCCATAAAGGCCCATAGAAAATCGGCCCCGGAAGTTGTAAAATTGCCAGAGCGACTGGAACTCACGGCTGATCGAAATTCAGTTGCCAAAACTGATTGTGAAAAGCATCCCTGTGTGTATGGTTGCGTAAGGCTGTATGTTAAACCAGTATCCGAAGCAATAGTTGCCGGGTAAAAGTATCCTCATGTAAAAGGGCTCTTACTTCGGGTACTGGTTTAACATAGAGTCTATTGAGTGCTCGGGCGGAAGATGTTTCGAAACAGACGTTCGGAATTTACCACTAAATGGGGGTTGGAATTAGGGATGCCACAAACCAGTACTTTTCAGTCACAGGTTCCATGTGTGACTGTTCCAAGCTCGTACCTGTTCCAAGTATCTGTGATTTTTAGTCACATGTTATTTTGGCCCATGATTAATATTGGTTTGTACCTCAAACCGGGCTGAAGCGTATTTTGAGTCCAGTCGGATTAGGCTTTAAAAGGCCTGTTTCGGGCACTGAAAAAATGATGGAAAAAGATTATTGGAAGTTGTTCGGAAGGATGTCAGAATATTGAGACAATAGTTTGTGCTCGATTTCCGSCTGTGGAACAATGTTTATAAATAATTGAAGCCCGTTTTTTGTGCATAATTGTTGAACCGTTGATGCTATTGAAAAAAAAATTGATCCTTATTTTCAAGTATTAAAAATACCTATGATATCAGATAAACTACATTAAAATCCGTTCATTAGTTTACTCAAAAATAAAAAAAGCCGTCGATTTCAGCGTTTTGTTAATTTTCAATAATTAATTTAGTTTTGTTTCACGCAAATGGTACCATAACTTTTTTTGGTCAGTCAGTAATGAAATTTTCATCTACTGTACGTTGTAGTATAGCTCTTTACGAGTAAAATACAGCCTCAGAGAAGTCTCTCCGACGTCTCAAGAAAAATGTATTTAGAATCTGGCAAGAGCCCTTTTTACATAACAAATAGGAATGAACAAAAAGTTATGAATATTTGGAACTAAAATTTATACCACTTATAAAGTATACAAACACCTTCAAAAAAAGTTATAGTGATATTTTTTGATGCAAAACCAAATGAATTATAAAAAATTTTACTTTCATCTATTTAGTGAAGGATATCCACGCCACTTCCTAGTAATTTGGGTGCGATTTTGCTGGGTCAGCAAACAATTATGACCGAAGACCGAATGCCTTTTGTTCCTTTATGTATGCAAGGGCTGATGGTAAAAAAAGTCATAACATTTTTTATGAGTAACGTTTTACCATTTTATCGAAACTTTATTTGAACACAAAAAAAAGTGACCACATTTTTTATCTTTCCCACTTAAGGGCAGTTAAATGTGAAAAATCTTCCATTTTCATGCTAATCACTGATTACAATTCATCTTATCGCTTAATTGAAAATTGGCCGTTTAATACTTCAGCTATGTTTGATATAAACAAATATTGAAACATGTCCAGAGTAGGTAAATGCCTATACAAATTTAAATGTAGTTCGTCCACTACCGCTCTGGGCAGATACAACAAATGCGATTTTATTTCAGAAGCACTGCTATTGGTCGAAAAAGATCAAGTTTCAAGGACAAAGAACAGCTCAGAATTCCGAAAAAACAGTCAGTCAGTCACAGCCTGTGACTCACATTAAAGAAAATATCGGAGACGGCTGTTACTGCTGTTCCCGACATTTTCTGTTCATTGAATATTGCTATTTGCCGAATCATGGTGCACGTCCCACTCCCATACATACAAAACCTTACCACTTCACGAGAATAAAATATCTTCTTTCACTAAAACTCAGGCCAATTGACAACGCCGCGGGGAATCAAAAGGCATAAAGGCAAGTATTTGCATTTTTGCTTTGTTGAAATATCGAAATCCCAGATGTTGACTGTTACTGAGCAGCATCGTAGGCGAGCCCTGTTATTTCAAATCACATGTTATTTTAAATATCGGTCACAGGTACCGACTGTTCCATATCGATATCTGTTCCAAAACACCTGTATTTCGTATCATCCCTAGTTGGAATGGTCGTTTCTTAAGTGCCGTTTACACGCTCAAGCGATCTGAACGATCTGGCTTGTACAACCCCGGACCGGTCAAGCAAATCGTTACGTGTAAACGCAGATTTTTGCGCAAACCGAAAAATTAGGCTTGAGTCATATTACAGTTGCATTCCACATATTATCAAACTTTTTATTGATTTAAATAATTGTTGAATTATTTTAGTACAATTAAATAAAATAACAAAACAATAAAATTAGTTACAATTTTTTCACATGACAGTTGCAGCCTCCGGCAGTTTAGTATCTTAACTAAAGCAGTTTAGTATCCTCCGGCAGCTTAACTCTTAGGGTGAATAGAAAAATGAAGCCATAAATTTAAATTAAGAAGGAAGGAATGCTGACAAAGGTGCGGCTAGTACCAATACGCAAAAAACATTACCTGCTTTTTGCTAAAATTTTAGTCTGTATTTAGACACAGGTGCTCAAGGTTCAGTTACATTAAATTTGTTTGGATTGAAAAAGAATTGAAACGCTCTTTCATATCGTGCAGAACGATTGTTATAGCGACGGCACACCATTTCCTTTTCGTTTTCAAGTTCATCTTTTTCTTTATAACACACTGCAGCCGTTGCAAAAATTAATTATTCGCCGGAATGTTCCGTCTTGTTGGCAACAATACAATCGTGGGTGTTCCTCCTTCACACCTGGGTAAAACGAACTGAACGTGTAAACACTCAGATTTTCGTTCGGTTCATTTGCACAGATCCGGCTTGCGCAAGCCAGATCGTTCAGATGGCTTGAGCGTGGAAATGGGCTTTTATGGAACCATACAGACAGGAATATTTCTCACAATAAGTTTCGGTCTGTCGTGAATTCCAGCCGCAAGGAATTTTACGACTTCCGGGGCCCGATTTTCTATGGGCCTCTATGGACCTGTTCGTATATGGACTTGCTACTTATGAAAACCCGGCTACTATTTTACTGTCTTGCTACAAGTCTGCGATATCCCGCAATGAAAATGGTCCGAGATTTCGGTTTGCGACGAATCAGCGGTCAAGTGTATCCTCGTGCAAAAGAGCTCTAAATGAGTTATGTTCAAGTAAATGAAAGTTTCCTAATTAAGTTCTGTTTGGCATTGCTTATCAATATTGTAGCATTGAAATAGTCGATAAAACACGAAATAACTTGATTGTATAAAGAGCGTTTTACAGTCGGCAATTTTAATGCCCGCAACTTTCTTGCGGCTATATTTTTAGTACTCCGCTTTACAGTGTGCAATGTCAAAGACAAATCCATCAAGCGTACCAACTATTCACTATACGTAAAAAAATCCAAAGTTTGTTTGTTTGTTTTGTTTTCGCTTGAGGTTACAATTATATTGCCAAGGAAATTATTGTGATTAACATAAGTTGTAGTTTATTTCGATGAAAAACGAAACTAAGCAAATATGCCAGTGCTGGTGATTTATATTACTATGAACGAACAGTTGGCAGCATGAAAAGAACCAGAAAAGTCACTAAAATTGCGGCTAGCTGCA